CTTTAAAGGGAAAGTCTGATATCAAGAAAATTAGTGAAGGTTTGATCAATATCCGAATAAAAGTAGGACAGTTTTTAATATTTGAAGTTGGAATCGGTGAAACACAAAAGGCAACACTGACACAATTTCAACAATTCATAACGTTTTTATTTTTTTATCAGATTTCGATTAAAAAACTTTCCCCGACATGTTTCTATCATTTTCCTGACAGGCTGGATTTGCCCTTTTAATATCTTTGATGATTTCGTTTCATACATACCCGTGAGATTCCAGTAAACTGAACAACTCTCCCGTAGTGTCCCGTCTCTGCCGGTATATCTATGACGTATGAACAGGTCTCTACCTTTTCTTTGGCCGCCACGTACAGTTCATGGTTCCAACGCTGGCGGATAAAATGAGAGTTCAGGGGTAATTAAAAAATGGGATCGACAATTTAGTAAAGTCAACATTGAATGTTTAATATTGCAGTCAAAGCATATAGATAAGCAATGAGATATTATGCATATTTATCGTTAATCAGAGTCAAACATAGATAAATATTTCAAACGAACATAGGCCTATTCCATATTTTTATTACTTTACTTACTTACTTACTTTAATACACGATGTTGTAGGTCTAAGCCTGTTCATCGATCGAGGATTCTTCCAGGGAACTGCGATTTTAAAACTCTTCAGGGGTGTCGGAAAAAATATTTAAAACGGTGATGGATGGATCAAAATTGCTGAAAAGTCAGCCTAAAGTTCTTGAACATGCGGGGAGGGAGGTCTTGAATGCGAGGTGCAACACCCCATAACTTCCCACCCTCCCTTAATGCCTTATATCCGAAATTCCAAATAAAAAAGCAAATGAAAGACGTGGGAATCAAATACAGAACTTTCTTTATTTTTTGTTCACCCTTCATTTCCCTTTCCCATTAATGCAATTATTATCATTTCCATTATCAGTCATTGCATATATATATATATATATAAACAGTCATTCATAGGGCACAATGTTAAATTATGTTCTGAAGGAGGCAGATGTAACCTGAAGAAGAAGATGGTTCATCCATTTATTTATTTTGTTAGATTGATTCGGAGACTTTGAAGAGATGCACCATGATTTTAATTTGAAAATACCCACATGTCTACAAATACACAAAATGTAATATATTTTGTGATTGCTCGTAAATGTTCTCATATAAAGATGATCGCCCCTACTCACCACTTTGTTCATATTGGCGGCAGTCGGCTCAACTTCTGCACGACCTTCGTTGTGTCTCGCCAGCAGCTCGTCGATTTCTTCCTGGGGTAGCTCCGACTCTCCGGCTGCGGTGTCCCCGTACCCGTGCTCGTTGCTATGCAAGGCCCCCGTGCGCGGTGGCGCCGCTATCAGAAGCAGCAGACAACAAAATAATGGGGGTTTTCCCGCCAAAATATATGACGCCATGATCGATCTTTCGTTTTAAAACTTTCACGTTTCCGACTTGTGTGGAAAATTATATAGGCCTACTACACCACAGGGAGAGTAGCCAAAAATCAAAGAAAAGAGAAATAATGGAACAAACTAAGAAATAAGAAACAAATCACTAATGTTAACTCCCGCGTCTACATCTGGATGTTGAGCCTTCCGAAGTCGGAGCTAAACTGATCAATTTAATAATGAGCTACGATTAACATGCTAGCAGATACCTTACATTCTTTATTTCTTTATCGTGGGTAGAACAATGCTCACATCTCGTTCAACGACAAGTCTTTAAAATAGACTTGTAGCTTTGTCAGGCGAAGCGCTAAGGAATATCTAGGGTCATTACAACCAACTTGTGAATAGAACAAGTTTATTTATAAATGAGCTGCCTCTTTTATAATATAAGGTTGCTGGAGAGCATGCTATTCGATCTTCTGAAATAGCAACGAAACTGGCTTTAAATGCTCTCACTATTGAAATTTTCAAAGTTAAGTGCAGATGAGTCGAGCGAGCAACAATGTCTAAAGAGAAAACAAAGTTGCAAAGCGGTTTTGTCCATGTTTTGGAAACATAGGTCATTAAACATAGGAATCTTGACAAATTACAAAAGTTTGATGACCTCAACTCTGGAATGTGATATGAAAGTGCAGGTCCATATAATAATTTGAACGATTTGTTACATCATCCGGGGGATTTTTCTCCAAGATTACCAGATCGCGGCCACTCATGTCCACTTTTTGGCGCAAAAAGAACAGACTATACATCATCATGTGACGAAACAATCAGATCATTGTGTTTTGCTGAAAAGAATCGCCAGTGTGACTGCGGCGTATAGTGGAGCAGATAATTGTGCCCACTTTCGCATGAAATGAGGAGGGATTGTCAGCTTTCGAGGTTCTATGTTATAAAAATTACACATCCTGGCACAGGGGCGGCGGAGCGCCTTTCAAAGTGAGGGGGTGCACAAACAAAAAAGGGCACTTTCCGGAAAAAGGCACCTACAAAGGGAAATCTCATATTTGTTAGACATTGGTATACACCAAAGGTTATGATTACATTATCAGGGATGATTTCAACTTTATTTCTCTCTCTACATGGCCCAAGATACTGCTTAGGCATCATACTTTGCAGTTGGGAGTGATGGTCTGAATAATAATTTGCGCGAGCGAGTATGCACAATTTTAAAGATTTTTGAGGTCTCAGTGCGAAAAATTACATCTTATAAAGAGGAAAGAACAATCCTAATGGGATTTTAAGAACAATCTAATCATGAAAGACTGAAAAGATCTTTAATAAGAAACATAATTATATCAACTTGAAATGCGAGCGAGCTTTGGGTGAAATTAAAGAAAATGTTGATCTTAGTCGCTTTAAATTTGGAGCACACAATTATTATGGTAAAATTAATGGGGGGGGGGCACGTATCCAAAAGGAAAAGGACACTTATTAGAAAAGAAAAAGAGTCCATGTCAAAGTAAAAAGGGGATTTGTCGATCGGAGGTGAAAATGAGGCACCTGATAAGGCATACTCACCAGAGATGAAAAAAGGCATTTATGAGAACGGAAAAAGGGGCAGTTGTTACAAAGGAAAAGGGGCAAGTATCATAAGAAAATTGCACTAATTAGAAAGGATAAAGGGCAGGTGTCTATATAAAAGGGGCACTTATCAGAAATGATTAGGGTAACTTGTTCCAGACTTAAAGGGGCTCCCTCTCGAATTTGAATAAGGGCACTCATCTGAGAAGAACAGGGGCACTAATAAGAATGAAAAAGGGGCATGCAAAGGAAAAGAGGCACTTGTCAAAATATAAGGAATACGTCTCAGATTTGAAAAAAAGGCAATTATAAGAGATGAAGGGGCACTTATCAGAGATTGTAAGGGTCACTTCATGTACCTGAAACGGGGCACTCACCTGAGATTAACAGGGGCACTTTTCAAAATGGAAAGGGGCACTTATTACAAAGGATAGTAGGCACTTGTCGAAGAAAACGGGCCACCTATGAGATTTTAATAGAGGAATATATCAGAGTTGTCAGAATAGGCATTTATGAAAAGGGGAAGTGTCTCTTATTAGAAAAGAAAAGGGACATTTACCAGAAGGAAAAGATGGAACTTATTTGAAAGATAAAGGGGCACATGTCAAAATAAAAGGAGGCAATTATCAGAGGTGAGAAGTAGCACTCATCAAAGTTGAAAAGGGGTACTTTTCAGAAGGGGAACTGGTGCACTTATTACAAAAGAAAAGGACCCTCGTTAAAGTAAAATGGGCACCTGTCATATTTGAATAGGGGCAAGTGTCATAGGTGGTAAGAGGCACTTAAAGGAAAGTAGAACGGGCACATATTAAAAATAAAAAGGGGCACTTATCTGAAGTAAAAGGGGGCACTTTAGGGCGTGCTTGAAAAATTGAGGATACTGTGCCCCCCCCCCTCCCATTCCTTACCTATTATTTGTTCATGTTCTACTATTCGCTTATGTCCATCCAGTCAATAAAACTACACATGGAAAACCTGAATTAGAACTATTCGTTCACTCAGTGATGAATCCATTATACTTTGGGCGGGGAGGGGTGGGGGGGGGGGATAGGCCGGAAAAACTGTGACATTGATTTTTTTTTTTGCAACAACAATATTTAAAGGTCATCAAATTTCCTTAAATTGTTGCTGCTGGGGGGGGGGGGGTTATAAGGGATATGTTCCTCAGTTTTTTTGTTTTTTTTTACTCAAGTTATGTAAGACTGGCTTTTGCAGGGGCACATGCTGCCTACCTCCTCCATCCCGGTCCAACTATGTTTGTTTGTTTTTTTCAAATCTAATTTTCATATTTATTTTTCTGCTTCCAAAGCAAAATTAATATTTTAGGGGTAAATTCCCCTTGCATGACAGTATCCACCGGGGAATTTACCCGGAAGGTACTAAATAGCATTTTTTTCTTTCTTCTTCATAGTAGATTTATATGGAAACGAAATGACAATGGAGCATAAGTCTATTATTTTCAGACTGAGCTGTAAAACATATTGGAAAGTTGCCAGCAATAAGGAAAATCGTTCAGTCTGGTTGAATAAAAAAGGTGTTTAGCCTGACTCTTACGTTTCTTCTTTAATCTTTTTTGCCATGTTTTTCATTTTTTGCCATGTATTTTATTTTTAAGGATTGATGCACAAGGCGTTTGTGTTTATTTGGCAATCTTCATGTTCAAACAAATGTACTGTAAAGTTATGAAATAGCATTTTTAAAATAGGTGAAATTTCTTTTATCAATTGTGTCACTCATTCCACGTATCTAAAAAAAAAAATGAAATACAGCGAAACCCGTTTATTAAGATCACCCAAGGGAAACCGAAAAGTGGCCACTGTAGGCAGGTGGCCTATCTAGACCTATCTCAACACACATTTATTTCTCGAGGAAGACAAAGCTCATTACCACCATACACAGGTGGCAGCATGAGGTGGCCGCTAAGGCAGGTTTGACTGTATACAAATTTAAACAAAACACAATTTCACTCATCCTGTGTATAAGACCGAAAAATAGACAAGTTCAAATGAAACATTATTGTGCTGTGCACTTTATTATCAAAAACATTGCACAACACCACTCCTACTCACACAGGCATACATGTATATACAAGTTTGTGTTTAAAAATCACTGGGCAGATCAAGTCATTTTTCTTTCCTGAGGTAAACGAGTGGTAGATCTGGGCCCTGTCTTAGAAAGAGTTATTTAAAAAAAAGTCCTCTAATCAATCGCAAATTTACAGTCTCCTTTTCTCTTATGTTCATAGTTGTGATTAATATCAACTCTTTACAAGACAGGGCCCAGTAATGAGTATGTATACGAAATTGCATTCAAAATGTAAATACAAAGTAATATGATATTGTACAACTACCTGGGGTAATGTATGAAGTCTGGGTTTTTAAACCAGCATACCAACCTAGGCTTCAGCAACAATTACTCCAGGCTTTATTCGTTAGAGAAATATAGGGTTAGGGTCAGGGTTAGGGTTGTAATTCAGTTTTAGGTTAGGGTTAGGTTTTCAATTGGGTTTTAGGTTAGGGTTTGGGTTAGATACAGTGTTTGGTCCAATTGTGTAAGATGCTGATAGCAGAGCAACTGGCACAAGAGAATGTATCATAATTATCAAATTTGATGACAGTCATTATTGTAGATTACAAATACAAATACTGTAAAAACAACATTTCTTTCCATGATATACCTGTTTAAATAAAAACCTGACAAAAGTACCTTTTTAAGATAATCAATCAATTTGCATTTAAGGTTTCACTGATTACAGCTCAAAAACAGCTTCATTGACAAAGTCCTAGATACTATTCTTTATGACGTCTATCCTGGTCGGGTAATTACTAGATCATTTATCATAATTCTAAACAATGCAAATCACAAACATGATGATTACCATAACAATCATTTTTTATTTATTACTCTACGACAAGCACTGACTTACGTGAGTCATAAGTGTGATCCTTTTTTGGGGTTAAGGATTGCAATTGGGTTTTAGAATGATAATTTCATCTTGTTAAACAGTGTACGGAACACATTCTTAATATTTTCAAAGCTCCGATATTGAGAGGGAAATGTTTGTTCAGGCATACATTCCTAAATTTAATAGTACAAGTGCATGTACATACAAAGGTCAATGGACAATATTTACAAAATCTCATTCACCACATAATTATGCATTGACTTTTTTTTTAATACATGCTACCAAACCCACATTTCTATTTCCTTGTACACATAATACTGCAAAGATTTGGATTAGCAAACAAAAAGAGATACATACATCAAATTGCAAGGCTCTATACATAATTGGCACAATAATGGCAAAATGAATGCACTGTACTACACATAATTGACACAATGGTAAAATGTTGATAATGGAAATTATTCTTTGCATGAATTTGAAGTAAAGCATTTTGATAAAATCAATTCAGAAATCATCTTAATATGCTAACATGCTAAAAATGAATTACATAATTTAAGAGTAAAAACTTAATTCTCTCTCACCAAAACTTTGAACAACTAGATTACCCATTTCCATTGTTTAATGACATATGAACTTGGCTCACATATTGTGATATATGTAAATTAGTTTCAAAATGAAAATTTCTCTTTGAAGAATATCTTTATCTCTCTATTCACTTTTTTTTCTTCCAAATAATATATCTCTTCTGTTAAAAAAAGAATACTATCTTTTCAGCCTTCTTGGCAACAGCCGGTTTTGGTGAATAATATCTTTCAAACAATGATTTATGAATATCAAAACATACTTTTACTTGAAAATAATGAATATATCTGTTAAAAGTATGAAAAATTATGCTTTTTTTTCAAGAGCTTTGTGCTCTTTGATTGGAATAAAACTCCACTTCTTTTACCTTTTCTTTCAAAACATTGTAATCTTTTCTTCTTGGCCAACTGAAAAAAGTGATGCACTTTATGCTTCCATACTGATATGCCAATGCTACAGAACTAGTGAAATACATAGAGCCAATGGAGAAAGTCCCCTGTATGACCTCTATGCTTCTTATTTATGTCTTTCAACAAGACTTGTTGCAATATCTTCATGCATCTGTGATCTTGGTTTTAGAACCAAACTCCTGGCTGAGGAGTCTCATCACTTCAGCGTGTTTGGCAGCCCCGTGGGTCTTCTTCACCGAGGCGTAGTTCTCCTTCACGAAGGCGGCGAAGGGGTTGGGTCCCCGGGCCCTGGCCGGGGTGCCGTCCTTCCGCAAGGTGGGCTGGAGTTCCAGGCGCCCGTTGCAGTAGGCACAGCAGAACCTCTTGGTGTCCACAGATTTGGAGTGCCGACCAATACTGAAAGAGAGTTGAGAGTTAGTTGAGAGATAAGTGTGAGGCTACTGGGTTATCACATGAATCAGTACAAGAGGTGTCGTAGTCGAGTGGTTTAAGCATTTGACTTAAAATGCAAAGGTCGTGGGTTCTATCCCTGTCACGGCACTAATGTCCTTTGGCAAGGCGTTGATTTACATTTGCCACTCCAAACCCAGTAAAGAAATGGGGACCTGGTAGGACGATGAAAGCCTTTGTGTTAGTAATTTCCATTTGCCCTCGTGGTGACCATATTATAGGAATACTCATCAGGAAGTGGAGATGGTGCACATTGCGGGTGAAATGGTTCTGATGACCGGGTATTAATATCTGTGAAAACACTTAGCGACAATATTTTGTATTAATTGCTATATAAATCCTAATTATTATTATATTTATTGAACCATGGATCTTGCAAGGAGTCTCAGGCCTTGATTTCCAAGTGGTCACACAGCAGTTTTTACTTGTTATTACCTCAGTCCAACACCAAACCAACTCCAAACTGACTATATTTTGGCAAATTGGAACATATCTTCTTTTGTTTGGTTTGTTGTTGGTCTGGGCCCTATTTCATAAATCTTGTGTTCAATTATAAATGCTAAATATCTATGACAAATTTGCTCTCAGCCAATCAAATGCTGTGATTTCAGTAGCTTATAACAGTTATTGCAAATTGCTATATCAAGTTTTATGAAACGCGCAATGGTGTTGGACGTGTTGGGGTGGCAAGAGTAATATGCCCCTGCAAAATGGTCTGCAATTGCATTTTCTAAAAGTGACCAAACCCTTATATGTCACTGCAGCATGGTTTTGGGTAATATGTGTTGGCTTTTGTGGCCCTTTGAAGTGCATGGCTAAGGTGATGTGCCCATGACCTCATAATATTCCAAATTTGTTAGTTGTGTGGACCTCCAACATCATGAACATTTTTACACATTGTGAAAGGTTTGATGATATCAAAATTGTTTGGTCTCGTTGACCTGCAGCCTCGATCTGCCTCACAAATCTGTGATTCAGTGATCTTCATTTAATGAATGAGGAAAGTCCCCAAATCATGTATAGTTGTATCCATTTGATCACTAAACCAAACACAGAACTCTTCCCTTTTTTTCAATTGTTTATGATGTTTAGTAAAATGTGTCACTTAAAGATAACCCTCGTGTAATCATATGCTTTTGTAAATATGTTAATTCAGATACCTTAATTTATATATAAACCTATGAACCGGGACCTACATAATACAAGCTTGCTTTTTAGTAGATCCCCCACTTTATTGATTGATTTATATGATTGTATTCTCTGTTATCATGTACATTATGTTTTCTATATTGTATGTTTAGTTATGATAATTACCATTGTTCATTATGTTCAATTATGTTATCTTTGATAAAGTGAAAGAAATAAACTTGTAACTTGAAACATGTAGCACTACTGATTGGTCAACATATTGGTGTGACACTTACATGTTCCCACACTGGACACACTTGTACTTGAACTTGGTGGTGATCTCATAGGTGTGACATCGCTTGATGACTGGGATCTCGGGGTGGGCAAGATTGGACTTGGCAGCCCTGCAAAGTAAGAAGATGAAAACAAGTTTTAAAATAGAGGAATATATGAACATGACCTCATAAATGCTACAATGAGATATAGCACAAGATACTATAAATGGAAACATAGATATAGATATACAGAGTGAGCATTTGTTATGCTCTGAAAACAAATTGGTTGTTTTTTGCAAAATAATTGATGGAGGTCAGAGGTAAAAGAGTGAATGTGGAGAGAGAAAGAGGGAAAAGAGAGATAAGGGAAAGGGGAGAGAGAAATACAATGGCAAATAGGGATAGAAATAAAGAGGGAAAGTTGGAGAGGAGATGAAAGGAAGAAAAGGGAGAGTGGAGCTGAGAAATGTAGATTAGGTCAAAAGAGAATAGTATCAAGAGAATGCATCTGATAGAGAAACATTGTAGGGAAGAGAAAATTAATATAATGAATCTTGTTGCGTATAGATCATTTGTTCAATTTCATAATGATATTTGAATTTCCCTTCAAACACCTAGTTGAAAATACATAACATTTTGCATACAAAATAATGAAATTAAAAGAGGAATAAATTCCATCTGGGATGCCAAAGATGAAATGATTAAATGCTAACTTAATTTCAATTTTGAGGGTACATCAGAAACGTTATAACAAAAACGATATTAATGGAGAGCTTACCAGTATTTCCAGTACTTTCCATGACCATCACTAACACCATGAATCAGCCAGGCAGCAGCATGGCAAAGCTCATGAACCAATGTGTCTCTCAGACGTTCTATATAGATCCAAAACAAAATGATACATCAAAATAAATATACATACAAGGTTACCATTGTTTCCACCAATTACAAAAATAACAAGAAAAACATTGAAAGTTCATCAAAGAAATTTGAAGTATATGGAACATGGGTGTTTCAGAAACGTTCTAACCGCAAAATATAATGATACATGAAAAGTACAGCAGAAATTCCTAGATAAAAAAAACAACTTCTCACTGAGAATACTTGACAAAAAAAGGTGAAAATCAAAGTACAGTGAAACTTGTGTATAAAGAAGGCTCAAGGGAAACATGAAAAGCTGTCTTTATAGGCAGGTGGTCTTTATGTACAGGTTCCTTTATTACAGGCTTCAATGAGAAACCTTCTTCAAGGGAAATTAAAAATGTGACTTTTTTGACATGTGGTTGCTAAAGCAGGTTTGACTGCAATTGCCAGTATACCACTTTGGCATAGCACAAAAATTGGCATGTCTTTCACTTGTTCTCAACCCAAAATAAAATAATGCCTAAAAAAAACCAGTCCTTTCTGGTGTGATGGATTTCTACCCACCCCCTCCAAAACATGAAAGATGTAAATACAAATATTGACTGCTCTGAGAGACACAGTTAAAACTATTGTCGGAGGTGATCTCAAAACTTGTTTTAATAATTTTGTTTTTTTAATTTAAACAAATTGTTGATGCAGAATATAAAACAAATATACCCTGTCTTCTTTTCGAGGTACTGGTTATAACTATGGGCCTATGTGACTCCAATAGTCACCTTTTGCCCATAGATTAACCAGAACCTCTCAAGACAGTGTATATTTGTATACTATAGATATGAGTAAATTGCAACTTGCAATTTCACTGTACCACACCAAGATTAAAAAAATGTAATACCTAAGTCAGGCCTACAAGACCAACACCACACTGTTAATAGACCAAACAGAAAATTATATCATCCCAAATACCGGCAGCCATTATTTTGTTGTAAATTTTATGTCATTTTGGAGTTGGGGTGTGGCCGTATGACTGGGATATAACAGGTTTACATACCAGCCGTGTCACACACCTTGACTGAGAGCTCAATCCTAGCTGTCCTCTCACTAAGCCTCTTCTTGTAGAAGCAGAATCCAGCGGTCTTCCTCATCCTGTTGTTCCATGTGACGCTGAAATCAGATGGTAGCTGTGGAAAAATGGAGCGGTAAAATACATGTGTAATCATTTGTATATAAAGAGGAATATTTATGGCTGGGGGTCCTGAAGCTACATAGGTCTTTAAATGATGCAGGTATATGTATGCTGTTCCAATAAGCTATTCAATATGCAGTAAAATTTAAACAAGGATACAAATTACTTGTACTGGTCAAATTCTTCAACTATTTTAGTTTTGTAAAGTAAGGATAAATAAATAATAGAAAGAAGTTATAACCTTTCTCAACAATCTAAACAATGTACAGAATGACATGTGTTATGTAGATGAAGTGAAAGAAAGGTCACATTTTAAGAACTGTATTTCTAGAAATAAACATCTGGGGACAAAACTATACATTGTAAATATATGCAGTTGTTTCATCATAATATGTTACCTTGTTCTCGAAGACACTTTCATTGTACAGCTTGAAGAGTTTCTGAGTGAGCTCGTCCTTGTTCCTCTTGAAGTCGCTCACGTACCTCGACCTGGTGGACATTCCCTTCCCCGGGGTGGAGAGAGAGGCAAGGAACGACACCGGGGCGGGTCGCTCGGTGCGGGAGGGGGTGCTGAAGCATCGGTTGGTGGGCAGAGTGGTAGGGTGGAGCGGGCGTCGCTGCTTGGCTGGGGTTTTCTTTGATGAGGTGGTTGAAGTGGATACTGATGAAAACATTGCAGAAAGAGAGAATATCAAAGATCCATACAGGTACTTTCATCATATACAGGTGTAAAAAAAGCATATAAAACAAAATTCAATTTATCTAAATGTAGTCAAATCTAGCAAGTAAAGGCTAGTTGAAATGTGGGGGGCGCAGGAAATTGCGACAGTTTCTTTGTTCTTTTTCTTTTAACAGGTAAATAAACGGCAAGGGGAGAAAACAACAAAAAAGTAGCTGCACACAACATAGATTCTACGGATACCCACTCTCTCTCTCTGTTTTAAGATACACAACTGTGAAGTATATTACATATTTCAAAATGTAAAATTGTGAACTAACCCTTACAGGCTTTAAGACCTACTATTATTATTATTAAGTATTTGGCATCACCTGTGCCTGGGAGGCTAAAAGTGAACTGAATCATTGTAACCTATGGGTCTCTCCTCCCAGTATAACTGATTGGGGTTGCAGGTGGACAACTACACCGGGGTTCCCCCTACTCTTATATGAATAGTGCAGTGGGTTCTTAATGTGCAAAGGTGGCAACTGTCCACTACATGGGGCCTCTATTTAAGGACCTATCTGAGAGTGTTTTCCACTGTAACCTAGCCTGCATCTATGAAACAGGGTAGGGGCACGTTAACACACAACTCAGGCTTTAGTCATCCACCTGAGTTTGAATCGATACCACAATATTTGGTTTGAGAGGCAGACACTTTGATGATGATTCACAGCATTTGTATGGCTCGAGCCCCTCCAATAAAGTTAGCATTTAAATGTCGGAAGGAAGATGTGAGTCTTGAGTGAAGCTTTGAAGTGGTCCAGGTTGCCAATTTTGCAAATAAATGACAGAGGTTTTCTATGAAATTTGATATAAGGTAGTAAAAATGCATATTGCCAAGAACTGAGAAGCAAGGTATGATTAAAATCAAAGGTGTTCATAATACCGAAAACAGGCCTTGAAAACACCACAAAGAAACGTTCGTTCCGAATACCATGATATTTCTCACCTTTTGAACTTGGTTTTCTGACAGAGGGTGTGTGATTTGGTATCACAAAGACGTCTTCATCGTCATCTGAGGATAGAAGCTGGCTGAGGATGCTTCCAGAGCGACTGCCCACGGTTGGATGCTAATGATTAGGAATGATAAATATGGGAGTACATTTATTGCGTATATTCAACTGTTTATTAATCTAATTGATGTTTTTGTTTTGTGCACAGTTATGTATTCTTATGTTATTCATTGTTATCTCCTGCCAGTGGAGGGCAAATTTCTGTGTTTTTTAACGTGTAATTAGTAATGTATAACAGACCATAACTTTAAAGTTGACGAGAAAGGAATAAGGAATTCCTTACAAAAGAAGGGACTGTTGTATGAACTATGTTGTCATTATTTTGTATAAATTCATATACAAGTAATATCTGCATATTATGTAACATGACCATACAACTTTAATACTTCAAGAGTACTGACCCATCTGAAAGTCTATCCATTTTTGTCTCTTCAATTCTTAGATTTTTCTTCTCTACAGGTATTTTTTTTTTTTTAAATACCACCATAACATCTGCGTACCTTCTTAGTTGTTTTCTTTCCACTCGTAAGTGGATTATCCAGATTGATGACCTTATGATAGAAGACATCATTGTCGTTGTCGTCATCACTCTTGCTATCGAGGGGCGTGTCATTGATGAAGTCATCGTCATCATCATCAACCACATAGACGCCCTCCTCCGAGTCCGATTGTCCGCCCTGCTGCTTTGGATGTTGGGGTGTCTTGACAGCTTTCAGGACTAGCCATGGTTGAAGATCAAAGGTGGAGCAGATTTTAAAGTTTAGACTTGTACAGAAAGGATGTCAGATAAGATAGCACCAAAGGCAATTCACTGTCTACTGATGTTACAAGATATGCATGAGTATTTGCATGAAAGATCCCAATATCCTGGTAACTATGATTCAATTCGTTAGTTTCATCTTCTTATGGTATATTGACTTATGGATCCTGCTGAGTATTGTCGTAAAAGTATAAGCGCATAATGACATTCTTATGTAATGTGTTATGTGCTATACAAGAATGATATTATTATTATTATTATTATTATAAACTTGCCCACATTTATGCTGGAATTTCTGTCATATATCCTAAACTTAGAAATCAAAGGGAAAGTAATGAAAATAATACCATAAATAACATACTGGTACATATTTTGTAACTCAACTCTTGACTGACTAGCACAAAATGTTCCAGGGCAAAGAAATTACTGCAAGAAATTCAACTTCAGTGTACCTACATGCATGTGACAAGGAAAATGAGCAATTAAATATAAGAATATTGGTAAATGGTAAATAATCTTTTCCACACCCCCTCCTCTCCTGCAATATGATTGTGAATTGGTGGGGGTTTCATAATCATGTTGCTTTTGAAGAAAAAATATCACATCTTTACAGGAATAAGATTCCCTTTTTTTTTTTACTCACATGATTCAAAGTCATCATCGCTGCTTGAAGAGTCTTGACGTCTGGTCCTGGCATATGAAATAAATGAAAAATGTATAAACATACCGGTATATATTTTACAGGTCAAGCTGAACATGCACAATGTCACCCACAACAAATGATTTGGGACAATCAACAACAAAAAGTTTATGAAGAAAAGGGTATACATATATAAAAGAAAGGAATTGGTAGACATTAGACCTAGGCCATCCTGAATTTTTAAAATATATAATTCAAACAAATGCAATTTTTTTTTAAATCACACAAAAATTGAAGAGACACAAAAATAATTTGCTGAAAGACAAGTTGTATATTACTTTGATTTCTTTAAGGTTAGCATGAAATCACAACTTTTATGAAAGAAGCCCTAATTTACTACTTAATATTGTGTGAAATTTTAAAAGAACTCATTTCCTTAGAATTTGCTTTGGAAAGGGAAATTGAGACAACATCATCATACCTTGCTTTCCGAAAAGATTCTGCATTGGTGTGGAGGGTCTCTCTGTCTTTCTTCTGTAACACTTGATCACGATCTTGATCCTCGAAAACTTCACCAACTTCAGCTACCTCCTCCTCATCCCTGTCACTTGCTTTTCTTTTCTCTTCTCCATCGTCTTCAGCCTCCAACCTCGTCTCCCCTCCAAGGATTTCATCATCACCCTTATCCTCCTGCCCACTTAGTTCTTCTTTTTCTTCATCCATCCATTCATTGTCCAATACAAGTGGAGCAGCTCTTGGGTTAGCACAACTTCTCCTTCTGTTCTTCCTGCTTGCAGTGTCCTTCCTCTTGTTCTCGAGATGATTTCGTGCCAACCTTTCAGTTAAACTTGGAATGTTAGCACCAAAAATATCCCCAATATCGTCATTGTCATCGTTAGAGTCAATGTTGGATTCATCATCGTTGCTGTCAGAGTTCAAAGTTTGACGTGGAAGTGGCACTGATGAGCTGGGCTTTGAAGGAGGGGACATGAGCCACTTCATAGGTTGAGGTGACTCTGTAAAGTCTTCAGTGAAGATTTTTGAAACATCATCTTCAGAATCTTTCTCTGCTGCCCCTGTAGAAGTACCGATACCCTTGTAAGAGCTTTCGCTAAGTTTTCTGTTACTGGATATCACATCTTCATCACTGCTGGATGTCCTTTCATTTATGGATTGAGCTTCATTTTCCTTATTTTTAAATGTCTCATCCTCGCTGCAGTCGCTGGAATGTCCTGTTTTCTCTTGCCTATCCCCTTCCGACCCTCTAGAGGGCTCATCTGCATGTTCAGGCTCATCCTGTGAAGGATGTTCCTCCCATTCAAACCCAGTCCTCCAAGCATCATCATGAAAGCTAGGTAAAGCAACTGAATCACTGTGGATTTCTGCAGAACCAACAGGAGCTGTATCTCTCAAGACTTCATCAGTTTTGCCTTCCTCTTCGCGGGCAACTGAAATGTCGGCACTGCAAGATTTTTCTGCCTGGAACTCCAACTTCAAACTTCTGGAGATACCATACCTGACGCCAGCTTTAGAGGATGAAGAATCCTGACTTGGATCACTTAACCCGCTTGAGGATGGTGGTGTCCCAGAAGGCTTGCTCTGTTTATTTGAAGGGTCTCGAGCTTTCTTTTTGGTTGTCGTTTGGCTCTTCTTCTTTTTCTTAGTTGTGGCAGTCACTCGTTTGCTCTTCTTTTTCTTTGTGCTTTGGGAAAGCTGCAATTCAGATGGAAATGAAATTGATTACATGTATTATAATTTGTTTAGATATCGGGGTCCAGGATGTTTGTTTATTATAGTCTCAAAATAATTTTCACTAGTTATCTTCACTTCACAAATACAGGCTTTTCATACATGTACATGTATGATGCCCTCTCCTTTTAAAATGAAGTGAGAAGAATACTTTTCCCGTTGGATTACATTGTCCATAAATTCACAGTTTCTACAGAGTACATATCTACAAACATTTTTTTCTCAACTGCTACTCCGAAAGTTTGTGTCCAAGGCCCAAGTTGTGAGATCAATATTCAACATGTTAAGCAGTGAACAAACAGCATCTGTCAATATAGTTCTGAACATATCTTGAGGGGATTTGATGGCAGCACATCGCTGTCCACGTTTTTAACAGCACATCACTGTATGTATATATATATATATATATATATATATATATATATTGCACCTGGATTGATGCCTACACTGGATACACACACATATTGGACATAGCACACACCACACTGCAGTGCGTAATCTTCGTTGTAAGAAGTAGCATTTAACAAGGAAGAAGAAATGATGGCCTCTTTTTAAGCCTTTTATTATAAGGTCTACTCTAGACTTAGTCCCCCTACCGAAGGTAGTCTACTATTTTCACTTATCGGTAGATCCAGATTTTTATAAGTTATCAATATCTACGTTTAATATCATCAATTATCATTATCAAAACCATCAACATCAACACCACCATCCATCATCATCATCATCATCATCATCATCATCATCATCATCATCACCACCACCACCACCACCACCACCACCACCACCATCATCATCATCATCATCATTATCATCATCATCGCCATCATCATCATCATCTCCACCACCAAACGATATGTCCTCCTGGGGCCCGTTCCTCAGTTCCTAGAAACCGTCATAAGTCTAACTTCCTGACTATCACATTGAAACGTGTGTTATAGAATTAACAAGCGTTTCAATGGGATAGTAAAGAAGTTAGACTTGTGACGGTTTCTAGGAACGGGCCCCAGCTCCTGCATACCCGACTTCCGAACTAGCTAAACGGAGCTAAGCTGAGCTCCCCCATGGCCCCGGGGCATGCAGCCGCAGCCCGACCCGCTATCATACCCTGCGCTCCCGGTACCTACCTACCTGTTCAAATAACTCGTCAAAATTTGCGTCACACTTCCAACCGAGTTTATTGGAAACCCGGTCAAAGAGTGTATTCAGATCGTCGTCACTTCCAGCAGGATTTTCTCCCATTTTGTCTGCATTCGATAGCAACTTCGAGCAGAAAAAGCCTAAAATGAACGCAATTGGAGCTTGTAGTTGTAGCAGGCACTTCTATTTTTAAATCAACCCGCCTATGGTGTTGCCGAGTACGAGTACAGAATGATGAAACTTTTAAAATAAGTCTGACTACTATAATAAGAGAATTATAAATGTTTCAAATATTAAATTACTAAATTTTTTCTATGGATTGAGATGTAGATTCTTTTATGTTCACGTCGTTTTCGTTGTTAATACTCCAAATCATTAAAATTGTTTAGATTGGCAATGCTTAATTCCTGCAAAGGTTTGCGAATTGCAAGTAAGTAGGGCCCGATATTTACTATTATTGTTCTCCAACTTCAGTTTGTAGACTCTTGCTGAAAACTCTGCAAATTGTACAAATGGACCGATTCGAGTGGACAAATGATGCTTTAATGCCTCGAGAGGCTCTTGTAAAACAACAACACGGCGTTCGTTTGTACGATGGGAATCAGAAGGTATTCATTTTTGTTCTAAATGCGTTATAATACTTAAAATGTAACCTGCCATAGGCATAGACCTCTAGTCCCACTCTTTGAAAATGGAATAGGGTCCTGCTTGTCTTTGGAACTAAGTGATGATGTCTGAGACTGAGAGTGAGACTGAGGAGTGAGGAAAGCACAGGCCACAGCTAATATTTCACTTAAAATTACCAATAATTTCCTATCATATTTCTCGAATGTGTGATCATATATTAGTCCTTATCCTAGAGAGTAAGGTTGCCAGAAAAACTCATCAAAATAATTCAAGGAAGTCAAATCAAATTTAAAGACAAAAAGTCATTTCCTAAAGAAGGGACGATCTAGACCGAATTGAGTGTGTGGATGAATAGTGAATTAATATTGTATAAGCGTGTTCACTCGTCACACAACATAACTCTTATTTAATTTTAGCTACGAGGAAGCAAGGTTACACTGACAATAAAATACATGAAAGAAAGATTTCCCTTTTCGTTATGTTTATTGAGTATAAACAAAGCTGACAGTACACTTGCAAAGTGCAGTCAAGCAAATATAGCAGACTTGGAATGTGAATATTGCCCGGAGTTTAAATGGTCATGTAATGATGAATAAATGCAATGAAGTAAATAGAGCTTACGACAGAGTGGAAATGAGGTCGAAAGTCCAATGAAGATGAAGAGAGATGAAAACAAAGGAAGGGGCTCACGCGATGATGTGCGGAGGCTTGAAGGCGGAGATGCAGCTTCGTTGTACGTGGCTGAAGAGCCGTGAAGAAAATCTTGACGCTGACGCTCGTGATAAAAATTATGAAGAAGCTCTCAGGCGAGAAGAGAAGAGATGAGATGTGGCACTCGACGACAGAACAGTGGGTCGTTCGATGTTGGAGGCGAAGAGTAGAAATGTAGACATCAAGCCGTTGGTGAATTAAAACGGAGCAGTGAGTCGCTTGATGAATGATCTGGACTGTGATGTAGAATATTTAGATGAGCTGCGGTAAATTGTCTGAGCTCGAGAGTGGAAAGAGCTACCGGAACGAAAAAACTGGCAGCTCTGACGCCGCTGTCGGCGCTGACTATAACGTTCCACGTGGAGACTGCAGCCCGATGAATTCGGCAGAGAAAAGTAGAGGTGCCGTAAATAGACGACAGGCACAGAAGAATGAAGCCTGGAGAGGAAATCATAGAGACGTCTTGACTCAACCAAGTTGGAAGCGGGAGTGAAGAAAAACCTTGTGGCGTTGATAATACGCGGGTGAATGGGTGCGCGGAACCATGGTGCTCGATTGGAAGGATAAACACACATGGTCCAAATAATGCATATAAATAAGTAGCGTGATGGAAAAATACTGGAGACATGAATGTACGATAAAAGTAGGGCGAATGTAAGAGCAGCTATACAGAACCAATTCTGGTAATTTCCAGCCGATTCCAAGATTCACACCCTATGCACAATAATACGCTACACTTCTCGCGAAGAATAGGGTTTAAACGCGGTGTTTAATGTGCCTGCAAGAAGAAGAAGAAGAGGAGGAGGAGGAGGAGGAGGAGGAGGCTTTTATTAGTTTATGTTTTGTTGGTTTTGTTTAATTTCTAACTCATCGGAAGATGATCGTCTTGATCATACCCTTTTTGCATCTAACTATGCTAACTGCAAACCATTTATTTTCAGACCCAGTTTGACCATGGGATAGCTGTGTTGACAACTCACAGGTTGATGTGGAAAGACATGCAGGGAAGGGTAAGTATCAGTTTATCCATCAGGATGATGTAAAGTTCAAGGGCTCGTTCCTAGAAACCAACGACAAGACAGTCATAACTTTATCTGCCAACTACGGAGATGTCTGTGATCTTCCTGAACCGTTTCACGAAGAGCTTACTAGCTAATATCTCGTGAGATCGATACTATTGGCGAGAATAAGAGCCAAGACTTAGCCTTAATCGCAATACCACCGGATTATTACAAAATTAATATTAGGGAAAATGCAATTGTTTAAATGAATTAGTAATAAAAAAGATTGAAAATGATACCAAGAAATAAGAAATGCAATATACTTCCAAATTTGTGTAGATTATACAATAGAAGTACTTTAAATATATAATTGTGAGTATTTCATTACATGACCGGTGAATCAGTTTTGTTCTTGAGATGGGTACCCCACCGGATATTTTCATTTGATAGTTTATAAAAATACACCCTTAAATTATTTTTAGTAAAAATACAATGCTTTGAAAGTTTGTCCAATGTTTTAGGCGTCAGTAAAATTTTCAAATGACAAAACTTCAACATTCCAAAGGTTAAAACACATGTTTTAAACTGTTCATTTTACACATTTGAAGATAGAATTTATCTCGAAAGCAATATGGGTCTGAAAACTAAAGAATACACTTCAAACTATGGCTTGCCTGCCGTGGCAAAATAGCTATCCCTTCGACAATTTTACAATGAGGAAATAAAGGCGTATAATCAGTTTATTTAAGTGGGAGAATCCTTAAATACAAACATGGCATATTTTCATAAGATTATCAAATACAAAAAACGATAACTCACTGTTTAAGTGAATGTGTTGAAAAATCATAGTTGGAGGATTTATTGTCCTTTTTGCCAGCCATAGTCTACCCAATAAATGACATGTGATGGCGCTGCCCATCGACTAAATAGTTATGACAGAGATACGACGGTGTCAGAGGCGTCATAACTCCTTAGTCAAGATATTGTCGCTGATCTTGGCAAAGATAGCAGACAAGTTGCTGACTAACGCTGATTTAGTCAAGAAGTTAGACTTATGACGGTTTGTAGGAACGGGCCCCAGGTATTCAATTGATAGGACAATTTGACTGATGACATTTTGAAGAATTCTTGATTCCTATCTTCAAACCCGACTCAGGGCCATTTTCATTTTGATTATAGGTCTAGTAAATTTAAAGTTTCCTTAAATGTGAACAGAGGTCTCTTATGTATACCGGTAAACCACAAATTCACATGATTAGGTTGATGATTTAACAATTTTCATACATAATAATGATTAAATGATATTAATGATAATGATAATACAATAATGATGATGATAATAATATAATGATAATAGTAATAATTATTTTAATAATGATGATATTTGTAATATTAATGACAATGATAATATGTAATCATAATAATAATAGTAACACAAATCATCATCATCATCACCATCATCATCATCATCAAATAAATAGGTTTTTTTATATAGCACAAATTCCATGATAGTATCATGTATTGGATTAGGGAACCTGGAGAACATTTCGCTTTCATGGTCCGAGAGCACAAGTTGGAATTTAAGGGCAGATTATATCTTGCATGTAGAGTTTTTTTTATTGTATATTTATCTGCATGGGTTGACAATTTTCATATTTAGTTTATGCTTGTCAATCATTCAACCCCCCCCCCTCCCTTTTGTGTGTGTGTTTGCAACTGCAGATCTATTGGAACCATGAATAACAGACTAGATGAAGCGAGAATGGGCAATCATTAAATTTTTAATAAAACTGTTATCATTTGTGTTTGCATTAACAGGGAGTGCTAGCTTTTCATCTGTCACTGGTCATATATGTCGAGAAGTTTCCAGATCCTAAGGGAAAGGGGTAAGTGTCTTGATGTAAATGATGAAGTGCTATATATATATATATAGCAGATTAATACTGGACTGGATTGTTAACAATCAACATTACTCAAGGCTGGGCTGATTGGTCATTATATGAAATGCTAACAGGAATGAGTATCATGTTAAACTCACTTGCATGTAGCTTTAATTATCATATTTCATTTCACTTAAAATTGAGCCATGCAAGTTGAGGTTTCTCAAAGATGTCAAGGAATAAACATTTTTTTATCACACTTTTCTGTGAGTGGTCCTAAATCAAGCATACGTGTACTATTGAACTTAGTATGTTATGTATCCTTCCCCCTAAAACTACTTTATAAGTTTGTATTTTTAAAGTCATCAAATTTTAGAATGTTTTAGTAACTTACTAACTTTATTAAATTAGTGTACAGATCTGAGATGATTCTTAAACAATAATGAGAATAGATATAACAAATGAAGAGTTTGTGGTTGATAATTTTCAACCTCATTTTCTTTCTTTTGTTGCCTCTTTTTTTTGTCACCCAGGATGGTAGTGGTTCACCTCAATGCAGCCCCGCCCAATAAAAACCCTGGTCCCGTTATGAGCAGTCAAAACACATACATCAAACTTGGATGCAAAGAGGGAGGAGAGGAACAGGTAATGTTTGATCCGAACCCATTCCCCCTCCCATCCCCCTCCCATTCCCCCTCCCATCCCCTTCCCATCCTCCCCTCTATCATCCCTTCACATCCCCTTCCATCCCCCCTCTCATTCCCTCTTCCATCCCCCCTCCTATTCCCTCTCCCATCCTCCCTCCCATTCCCTCTCCCATTCCCCCTCCCATCCCCTCTCCCTTCCCTCTCCCATCCCCCTCTCGCGTTCTCCCTCCCATTCGCCCTCCCATCTCCCCTCCTATTGACCCTCCCATCTCCTCTCCCATCGCCATTCCAAGAGGTGAAATATGCCCTTTTGAATCAATTGTGTGAGATTTTCCCGATTTCATAGTATTGATATCTTTTGTTGTTGCTGGTATACATTAACAAAATAAAAAAATCTGTAACAGCATCAAGAAAGAAGAGGAGAGTGTGTTTTGTGATAAGTGATAATGTATTCTCCAATGTTATTATAGTATTTGCTTAACATTAGTGGTTGTGCATAATGCATATTCTATATTACTGGTCTTGATAAATATAGTATGATATTATATATGATATTATTTTAGTAATGGTGAATGATGTTATGTCTTGTATTATTATTTTTAGATGTAAAATTACATAGATTATAAAAGTAGAAATGTTTGACATGAATAAAATTCAATTTAAAAACAAATTATATATTTTTTCTCTACAAGTTTTTTGCATGCTTGACTGAACAGCTATCGAGGAAGTTGTGGCAGTTTGTGCCCGCATCACAGCAAGCCAAACCAACAGCACAGGTAATGTATTGGCCATAAGCAAGCAAATGCCAACAATGAAGATGATGATGATGATGGCAAAGATGAGCAGGCCTGATGATTACCTGACTTTCTTATTTTTTACTCAAGGGGGGCGTGGTTAAGGGAAAGAAAGAAAGAAAGAAAAAAAAAAAATCATTTTTTAATTTTTTTTAATAGTGCTCACTATCACCTCTGGATGAGGAGAAGGATAACAAAAAAGAAGAACAAGAAGAAGACGGAGGAGGAGAAGGAGAGAGAGAGGGGGAGAGAGAGAGAGAGAGAGAGGGAGGGAGGGAGGGAGGAGTATGAGGAGGGGAAGGAGACATACATGTTTATAGACATGGAAGAAAAGTGTTCAGAACAAGTATATGAAGATTATGTTGTTGTTATCTGAATCAGTACAAATAGATACAGGAGAAGGAGATTAAATGCTGCATTATTGTAGAGCGCTTAGAGACTTCTGACGAAGTAAGTGTTAGGCGCTATATAAGTACTGTAATTATTATTATTATTATTATTAAATGAAGAAAGAAAATCATTACACAGAATTCCTCTGAAATAACCTCTAAAAATGCTATAAATATTTTTTCTTGGCAGCCTCGCTCTATTCACAAGGGGATTGTTGGAATTGAGAGGAAATTGGAAGAGAAAAGAAAGGAGACAGATACAAATATTGACAAGGTATGTACTGCAAATTTTTTAAAGATTATACATTTATGAAATTATGGGAGCTTATTTCTGTTCTTTTCCTTTTACTTCTACTCATTTATCTGATTTTCATCAATTACGAACTGTTCATTGATAACAATTTAACATTTCTGTAGCGCATCACAGAAGTGTATTATTGGAGTGGGGTAAATTGTAATAATTTTGTTTGAAATCATTTAGTTTTGCTTGCTTATCGAATTAGATACTGCCTTCAGCCTTTATATTTGTAATTGAAGTACTAAGTATGTGTTTCTGAGTTCATTTCAACTTTGTGAGTATGAAAATAGGTGGTGGGTTGATGTACGAAGATTGAAGTGCCCATATTAGTAAGAAAATTCTCAGCTGTAAATAGTAAGATTAAAGTACATTGTATTACTGTAGGCTTCATAGAGATAATTAGAAATTTCACAATTTCACTTGAATCATTCATATTATTGTTCTACATATTTACAGGCATTTGAAGATTTGGGCGAGCTTATGAAGAAGGTGAGTGTTATTCATTGTTCATCCTCTTTGTTATTTATTTATTTTTCCTTGAACCATTATATGGCTACTTTGACCACACATAAACTGCAATATTCTTAGGATATTTTGTTTTGCTATGTTCAATATACAGGAGTATAAGCCACATGATTAGAAGGCAAAAGTTTGTAAGAATTTTCTTTTCCAGTTTTTAAGCAATATATAATTACGGTATGTAAAATAATGTGATATTACTCCGGAATGATAACATTTTACCTTCTTGTTTTTCTCAGGCCAAAGATATGGTAGACTTGACCAAGACGATTGCTAACAAGATCAAGGATAAACAAGGAGAAATCACTGAAGATGAGGTAATTTGATTTTCTTCAATTTATAAGAAATTTCAAAGATTATGGCCTAAAGTTAGATTACAATGCACACATCAAACTTGTACTCTGAACTACGTTGATTGTTGTTTTATAGAATCTCCACATTTTAATACACTGTGAGCAATGCTTACTTTTGAAAAGACTGCTTTCTGTTCTTTGCATCTTTTTGATAATGCATTGCATTTCATGTCCTTTCACATTATACCCTGTACAGTCCAACTTTGACCATTGCACAATTCAGAAAATTTCATTTCAGTATACAATTTGTTGTTGGAAAATGTGTGTCATCATTAATGATGCAAGAATAAAGTGATATATAGAATAGGGTATTTATTCATAGAGAGCATCCTATTGGCTGAAAAGATGTTATGTGACTCTCAACATTTTTTTAATGTGCCAGAGTATTGAAGAAAAAAAAACAACATTTTTTGCACAATATGCTGCATACAAAAGTTATTAAGAGGGATGCCTCAAGAAAACAAAACAAAAAACAGGGCATAAGATTGTAAAATAATTCCCTTAATTTTCATTAAAAAAATATTGAATGCATACCAGCGATCATTCACCTCCAAAATAAGAATTTTACTTGTGTAATTATACTCTGGCCTTGGCCTGCAGCCTCAGAGAAAGATAACATCGCTCAGGACACATTCAGAATTTCTTGTTTCATATCATATACATGTATTTTGCATATCGAAATCCAGAGCATTCAGTATTTCTACAATTTGTCTTCTTTTCTTCTGAAAGACGGTGAAGTTCAAGTCTTATCTGCTCAGCCTTGGTATAGCCAACCCTGTCACAAGAGAAACCCATGGTTCAGGCCTCAAGTACCATGAAGAACTCGCTAAACAACTCTCAGAGGCTTTAATAGCACCTGTAGAGGTACGTTAGCATCACATTTACAAAGCTGTGTGTCAGGGTTGTCAATGTTTCATGTCAAATTGGCAATGCTTCTTTTTTTTTTCTTTTTTTTTCCCCTTTTTTTTCCCCTTTTTTTTTGACTGGTACATTAATCGAACAAGATGTGATGTGTCATACTTAAGTAAATACATTCCATTGTGTAATAACGAGTATATTGATTTTGTATCTTTTTACAGTGAAACCTGTCTATAAAGACCACCCATGGGAGACAAGAAAGTGGTATTTATAGGCAGGTGGTCTTTATGTACAGGTTCCTTTAGTACATGCTTCAATTAGAAACTATTTTCAAGGGAAATATAAAAAATGTGGCCTTTGTAGACAGGTAGTCTTTCTATACAGGTGGTCACTAAAGCATGTTGACTGTACTTGGTTCCTAAATATACCAAGGTTTCAATGCATATATCCCTTTGAAAGAACCATATTAGTATTTCAGAATCCAGTTCCTGAACTAGATGTGTGAATAACTTTTCTAGTCAATCAGGGTTTGTACAAATCAGTGCTAGAACATGTGCATTTTGAACCAAACAATAACAACCAATATTAAACTAATGTTCATGATCTAAAAAACTTGTTTTTCCTCACCTTTTTTCTGGCAGGAAAGTGGAGGAATGATGGCCATTACAGATGTATATTGTAGAATAAATAGAGCAAGGGGTATGGAGGTAAGCATGTTCATCTAAGTGCCTCTCATTCCTTCTTGGTTTGTAACTTTTGATTGGCAGGCAGCAGCAGGATTTTGCATGTAATATAGAAGCACATGTAGATGTACATGAAAAAACAGTGAAAATATATACAGAAGTAAATGATATTAGGTCATTTTTGTAAAAGTCTGAATGCAAATTGCATATAGAACTTGTTGTTAGGTAGAGCAAGCCCTAATGTTCGTCCTACCTAGCAGCAATTAATGCGTGCAATCCGCATTCTGACTATTAAAATTTAATTATTTGTAAGAGATGAATGAAATAATTTGTAACGACGCACTTATCAAAGATTTGTGGATTAAATCTGATTACATTACAAAAATGGTCTATTCACAAAACAGTATTAAATCAAGGTGCATGTAGGAAACAAAACAAGTTCAAAACAATTTATCTTTAGAGAGAAAGAATCATCTTTTGACTAGCCAAATGTTTGATTTATGGTAATTGAGCTTTAATTTCAATACTTCTACTAGTAAGTTAACCTTTTGAATGGTCATTCTAGTAAGATACATTTATGAATGGTTTGAGCATTACCCAGTTGAAACAACTATATTTCTGTTGATTATTCAAACAGAATGATTTTTAATGGTATGAATTATAGTGTTTATATTATGTGTTGGTATTGGCAGATATATTAACCTTCTTGCCAGCCACATACCATGCCTAAATACTGCTCAAAACAGAGTCAGAAAGATTTTTTCTGAGAGAATTGTTGCTAATAATGTTTTTCTGTGTTTCCTAGCTGCTTTCCCCTGATGACTTGATAGATGCATGCCAGCAGTTTGAGAGACTACGACTCCCACTCAGGTTCATACACACTACTACCCTACTTTAATGTGAAGAAGCCACTGTCAAGTGCTTGTTGCATTTTTACAATGTAGAATAGGAACCAGCATTTTTGAGTAAATCTTCAACATATCCTACTCTACTTTCGACATATTGCTTGGTAGTTACTCACCAGAGGTTTATTAGAGATACATCCTTTATTAGCTATTCCAGTCAGGTCCACCAAGTTCAGTGTCATACCCTTGGTGCCCTTAATATGTATTTTACGGAGGTGATGTTTTTACCACTTTTTTAATTTTGGTCCTAGAGGTGAAATGCTTTATACAGTTGAAAATCAATGCATTTTAAATTGATAACCGGGGGTAGAAAGTTATCCATGTGACATGTACCAACTAATATTTTCATGTAATTTGTTTCTGGGACTAGAGAAAGGGAGGGGGGGGGGGGTAGCGGCAGCTTTCCCCATCCTCCCATGTTACCAAAGTTATTACCTTAGAACTGCGAACTATCAATACCAGATACTACAGGAATGTGCTTTTAGCACCTTGGCGCCTTCACTATAAAATGCACTTCCTCTCCAGCTCCGAGATGCACCCTCATAAATCATTTCAAGCAGTTTTTTAGAAAACATACATGTTTTTCTCCAATGTGTAACTGAACTGCAATTGTCATAATGTTATTAGTTAAGGATACATTTTATCACCTTATACTTTCTATTTTAATCTTAATTTTTGTTTGTTTGTTTTCAATTAATTGTTGTGTTTAGAATCTTCGTGTATTGTCATACTTTCTTAACTGATGTAATTAAGTTAGTGTAACTATTCCCAATGTTTTATCAATTATAAGTTTGTTCTTATGCTATTTTTTAAGTGCATAGAGATGGCAACATGTAATGCACTATATAAGCCTGACATTATTATTATTTTCAGTTTTTAACTTCTATGAATGAGAACAATGAAATGCTGAAGGAGGTTCTCCGTTTCTTGAATTATTTTACAGGTTACGTAGATTTACAAGTGGAGTTCTAGTCCTTGAATCCTTATCTAAGGGTGAAGAGGCAGCAATCGAACAGACGGCTGAACTGGTGAGATTTTGTCAATATTATCTGTTTGTTTTTCTTTCTTCAGAGTAATAATCTATTTTAGTTGATTTATTCATATATTTATTCATGCCTATTATAATAATGATATGTTAATTTAGATAGCACTCTCAAACAATTGGTTTCACAGTGCTTTACACCGTATAAAGGTGGGAAAAGCAGTTCAATAAATAAGTCTTGTAGTGCTTCTTAAAGGTGTCTAGTATGGGTACTGTATGGATGTCCCTACGTGTTATCAGTGTCTGTGATATGGTGTAATATTGAATCCCTAAAAAATTGCTCTTCAAAATGATCATGCAGCGCTTCAAAAAATAGAATCTTTGAGTGGCCGGTTTTACCATACTCATTTCCCCCAATAGCCTGTAGTGTTACAAAAAACTGTTCAAAACCATTGGGAAAACGTTTTCTGAAATTTTGTATTCCAACCATAAATACCTTGATAATCAAACATGCGATTGGCTTGTAAAAGTCATGGGATCCATTTCTGACCTAAAGGTCTATAATTATGATTGCAGCATGAGCTAAATCCAGGACTTTGTTTAGATACCTTTAAAAAGCATGCCTGTATGTATCATCGTGTAGTTGAAAATACTTATCACAAGTTGGTTCAAATTCCTTTGTCATTTCAATTATGTTCATTTCAATTATGACCAGCTCTACCGGTCTCTTCGAAAGCAAACGTTAGTCTTTTATCACTCCTTAGTGAGTTTCAATGAAGTTTTTTTTTTTTTGTGAAAGTCACATTTGCATGAATGCAATGTTATTCATCAACATCAAATGTTTCAGAACCCATTCTGACCTTTAACTTTCTTTATGTGTGTTTTGTCTTTTCTTTTCTTCCCCCTCCTTCCTGTAGATTGTGGAGAAGGCATCTCTAAGTGCTGATGAGCTAGCCCAGATAGCAGGAGTCTCTGTCATGCTTGCTAAGGGCAGGTAAGAATACGAACCAATTATCTTGATGATTCTCAGAATAAAAGGAAATTTAGATTGATTGGGCAGTGGGTAGGAAATGCACTAGGGATGTAAGTGGGAATATTAGATTTACTGGAGTGATTGAAAATGTACGTGCGGGACATAGTATGTGGACATTTTTTTTTTTTCCACTGATAAACCGACTTTTAAAACTAATTCTGTACTTGAGAGATAGATAAATGTAATAAGACTTTGGGGGTACTAACACAGAGAGATGACAGTCATGCTTAATATCATAAAATGAAGACTTGTCTTATTGGGGGTTTGAAGATTTCTTTGGGTCAAAATAGTTATGATATCGATCAGGCTGGAGAAACATAATTTGTCCATTATAATCAGGTACCGGTAGTCTATTTGGGACACCTTCATTTTTATGTGAATCAGACTTGAGAGAGAACTAATTCAGTACCACTTATGAGTTATTGCCATGCATGATTTTCAATTTCTCTAAGCATTCCAACACAAACTTTAATTAAAAAGTGTTCAACCCTTTAAGATGTTTCCAAAACGTTTGCGAATAAAGACCTGCGTATCACATGTAATTTACAATACTCTAGGTATTCATTTAGAATCTATTTTACCTGTATTTTCTTGGATGAAGTTGTCATGGTTACATGTTTCTCTTTTACATTCCACAGGTTACTGGCAGCCGAGGAGGTGGGGAAGGCATGTCGTGATGAATCTGTGGAGGGACTTCGATTCTTTCCTAATCTTTTCCTCAATCCCCCTTCGAGATAATGGAAGGTTCCTTTCCTTTGTATTTATGTAATATAGAGATATTATTTTGTATAGAAAAAAATGTTAATGGACCCATTTTCTAAAAAAATTGAGGGTTCAGTTACACAAAGACGCAACTCCATATTTTGCCAAAATGAGTATTTGATATCAAAATGTTCAGAAAAATGTGGGCTTTCCTGGAAACACAAAGACTTAACTCCACCCAACACTCCATTGAAGTCAATGGCTAGTGAAACATAGACTTAACTCCTTAAGGCCCAAGTGGTACTCTATCTTTAATCCACTTTTTCTCAAAATGGCCAAAATGGAGTTATGTCTTTGTGTCACTGACCCCTCGAAATTATATGTATCATCTGTTGAGAGCCAGAAGGGCATTAGCTGTACATGGATGTAAAAGTGTAAGAGTCAATACTCTTCTAGTCACTGTCCACAGGAAATGATGTAGCTGTATAGAGGTGTCGTGGTTTGAGTGGATATGTCACCAGATTGTGGATTACAAGGTCCGCGGTTCAAGTCCTGCCTTGGTGGGACTAATGTCCTTTGGCAAGACATTAATCTACATTTGCCACACTAGACCCAGGTGAAGTGAATGGGTACATGGTAGGATTATTCCTTTAAATGCCCTGTGCACTGATAAGGGCTGCATCCTATCTTCACAGCTACCTGTGCTCTCTTGATCAGTGAGGAGTCAAGGAAGCCCAAAGTGGGTGCGTAGGGCCCGGTGCCCTCCCCCCCCCCCCCCCCCCCCCCCCCCCCCCCCCACTCTAGGAACGGAGAAACCGCATTCATGTTTCCAAAATCTCTGGTAAAGGGGTACTTTTCATGCAACAAAGTCTGGCTCGTAATACACAAAAAGTTGGCCTGTATTGACTTTACACACCGGACTTAGGGGGTGTTCTTTCAAAGAGGGGAACATGCATACGCGTACCCTAAATAACACTGAGTGGGGGGGGGGGGGCGGGGCGTCAGGTAGGACAGAACAAGAACAGCATTGTTGTAACCATGTTATGACATTTTGATCCCGGGACAGTTGGCCAGCATCATTCGCTTGGCAAGAATCCAACTTATTTGTGTCCGATATGCATGGAAGGTCATATTGAAAATTTAATAATACCGTAGTCTTTGTTCAGATAAAAAGTTTTTGGAAGGTAGGGTTAATTGGGAGAATATATTTGACAAGTTTTGTTATTTCAGGATTATTTGAAAATGAAAATGAAGGCATATGCAATTATATTTTCGAAGGAGAAGGCAAAAGAAATGAAACAGAATATTTAAAGATCAGAAAATGACGTAAAATAGTTAGAAGGTGAATAAGTTAGGTTTCCATTGAAGTTGGAAAAATCAGAGGGAAATAAAAAAAAAAGATTTAAGAAATATTTGATAGAAAGACTAAAGATTGGATCACAAGCTGCATGCTACGAGGAAGGAGAAAAGAACAAGGAGTACAAGTGCACGATATGTCTTAGTTAGGACTTGGAATTGTGGTATATAAGTGGAACATATTATTATTATTAAAGTATATGCAAGGGACTCCTATCGCCTGTGGTTTTCTGTGATAGCACGATGCTATTTGAAACATCGCAATAATAGTAACGAAAAAAATAGGACCTCCTGTTCAATCATGGAAAATTTGTGGGTTTGTTTTAGTTGTACATGGTCTTCAAGTAAAAGAATATTGTAATTTTTGTATGGTTACAAGAAAAACAATGATATTAATTTGGAGTGTAGGTAAAACAAGATAAGTAATATCATTTCCAACTTCACAATTTATGACAGTTAGAAAACCTCCAAGATGATGATAAGATTGCATTATAACTACCAAGTTACAAGTTTAGCTGATACATGTATAATCATAATACATGTAGAAAGGGGGAGGGGGTGTACTTAGAAATGATTGCAATAGCCCCCTCTAGTGGCGATGTATGTTGCATCAGAAAAGTCACAAGATATATTGTCAGGATGTGTTTTAGTTACCAGGGAGGCTTAGAATATCAGTTTATGATTGAAGATAAACAACCAAAGGACCTATGGCTTTCAGTGCTATATTCAAGGAACATGACGATAAATTATTAATGCATTGCATAAGAGCTAAAGACTCGAGACGAGTACTGTGACTTTGTATTTCCTGCACATTTTGTCTTTACATAAACAGATGTGAGCATTACCTATGCAAATGGTAATATACTCCCAAGAAGTTTACCTTGTAGCATATCTTATATGATATATAAGAAATATTTTGAGTTTGCTATATTTGAAGCCTTGAAGAGAAGGTTGAGTTCTGGGGAGAGGTAAAACATAATTTGTGAGTGTTTTTCATTGTTATTATGCAAGTGTGGAAGAACATCGGGGAAAAAACGTTCCGTGGAAAGCATGGCTCTTCAAATGCCTTCATATTTTAAATATGACATGAACAGCTTAAAAATGTGGACCAAATGTTTTGTAGTCCCATATACATTCTTCTTTGTACAGTGCTTGTTACTTTTATCAAGACTGGGTCACATTTCTTATCATTTTAATGATTCCAGAACCTTGCAGTGCACACCAATACTTATTAGCTAGATGATCAACCTTTTCTGATCGATTCCACACCGTTTTTTTCACAATACAGTTGCATGACCAGAACTTGACTTTATCTTTAACAAACACATTAAAACTGAACATTTAAGACTCTACACAGCCTTGAATGAATTTTGCCTTGGCAGTTGGGGAAAAACCAAAACATGTTTTGTTTGGAACCGACCAGTTTTATACTTATAGAAACTAAACCAAGTTAGGCAATTAAAAAGAGCATATAATGTCATCGTTGCATTACTTGGTAAAATATTTATTGGTTATTGCTTTTGACTACTTATTCAATCATGAGAAAATAATTGGATTTTCTTTCTGCTATGGAACGTTATAACTGCTTGAAAATTATAAATTAAATACGTGTTGTTCATCTCATTTTTCAATTCAAGATATAGTTTGAGTTTGTATCTTTTATACTGTCTTTGTTTTTTTCTTCTTCATTTTGTTCATTTATTTATTTATGCATTTGTTATAAGTTTTCTTGTCCTTACTTGAAATATTGTACAGACAATATGGAAACAGATATGATGCAAAATACAGACAGTTGAATTAATATAGATTTTAGAGGTATTGTAATGAGAAGAGAAGAGAGGGTAAGGAGACTTATTGCACCGAAACAACGGAAGATGAAGAGGAGTAATTAAAGGTAAAGACCAGTATTGGTAACGCCCCAATTTCAAAAAATGAAATGGAAGCTCTCATTACCAATCATGTGAAAGAATATGTTTTGACTAATACATGATGATAAAAAATTTGCCGGGAAACCGCCTACTAATTCATATATTTGGTAAATTTGTTTCTCTCATGGTCTGTGAGAGATATAGGGTAGTCCCATATACATCTTTCTGTGTATAGTGTTCGTAACTTTACGAAGAATGGGCCAAATTTCTTATCATTTTGATGATTCCAGAACCTTGCAGATGCTAGATGCTAGATGATCAACCTTTTCTGATCGATTCCACAACGTTTCTTTCACAATGCAATCGCATGACCAGAACTGGTCTTTACCTTTAAGTTCATGATTTGCCTACGTGGGAGAATAGGCTGAATTAGGGAATACAAGTATGTCTATGGTAGTGGATCTGGGCCCTGTTTCACAAAACTTGTTATCAATAACAAACGCTACATTTCTACAACTAATTTGCTCTTGACCAATCAAACATCAGGATTTCATCGGCTTATAACAATTATTGCAACTTGTTATTGATAACACGTTTATGAAACAGGACTCCGGTTACTTGAAAGAGGGGATGATAATATGATCAGAGCAGGAATATTGGATGTAAGTCCATGTTTAGCAAACATTGTAAATGGATGAATAAAACTAGACACAGAAAGAAGAGAACATTGAAAGAGGGGTGTGTGGTGAGAGAAGAAGAAGAAGAGGACAAATAAAATAGAGAGAGTTTTCACAGTGTCCACAATTTTGCATGTTGAATCAGGACAGAAGAGTAGGGAGATGCAGACCAGAGAGAAATATTTCAACAAGAAGAACAACAATAGTAAACAAAAAAGAAAGAGAGAAAAATGGTAAAGAGGGAGGGGGAGTATTCAATAATAGAAGAGGGAAAATTGGTAAAGAATTTTATAGGGAGAGACGGAGAAAGAGAGAGATGATAAACATAATGCTTAGAGAAGACAAAACTGTTATTTTCTGAGAGGGGTTGGAAGAAAGTTTGTTACATGAATAATAGGAATAAAGAGTTCATGCCTAGTTAAAAGTGCAGAAAACTACAGGAACAAAGTGAGACAAGGAGACGAAAAGGATGGATGGGGACCTAATTGATAGATCAATAGAAAGTGCATTCATATGTTGTTATTCATTTTATGTGTTGAATATAAAAGATTAGAGAGAGGGAAGGAAAGGAAGGAGAACACCTTGGTCATTGGTTTGAATGGAAATTAAGGATTTGGATGAAAGAGAAAAAATAAGAAAATAAAGAAAAGTATAAATCGAATGACAGAGATAGGAAATCATGACAATGCAGGCTTCCAGCGCCGACCAAATAAATGATGCGTTAATAAAGAGTGTAAACATGAAAGGGAACTAGCTGGATGTACAAGGAAATGTTGTGAATATGGTCATCATTATGTCTCTTTCCCCCGTCATTTTTCTTCTTCTTCTTCTTCTTCTTCTTCTTCTTCTTCTTCTTCTTCTTCTTCTTCTTCTTCTTCTTCTTCTTCTTCTTCTTCTTCTTCTTCTTCTTCTTCTTCTTCTTCTTCTTCTTCTTCTTCTTCTTCTTCTTCTTCTTCTTCTTCTTCTTCTTCTTCTTCTTCTTCTTCTTCTTCTTCTTCTTCTTCTTCTTCTTCTTCTTCTTCTTCTTCTTCTTCTTCTTCTCCTGACACTCATATTTCTTTTTGTAGCTAGGCCCCACTGCAAAAGAAAAAGTTTGACGTATTTTTATGTGATGGATGTTGACAACAACTTATCAAACAGTGAGAGGGCGAGTTCAGAAACTGGGCATGGGTGTCTCTCCTTTCTTGAGTATACAATTTTTTTTTATGTAATTATCAAAATTGCTTTCAATCCAGCTCTTCTTTT